ATTTGTTGCAGTCTGGCTAATTGTCCCATCTTGCTGCAACCACTGAATGGCATTGTGCAATTGATAATAAAATTTGATTTACTGGTGCTTTTGCTGCAGTGCTATATTTTAAACTCTGCTTTGAGAAAAGGCACCTAACTGTATGGCAGAGAAACGAGACGCCCATAAGAAAATTTAGTTGCATATTTATTTATTTATTTATTTATTTATTTATTTCTCTGCATTTATGACACATTTTGTCTCCTTGCATTCATTTTGAGTCTGTGTTGTTTTGTTATGTTAGAAATTTTATGTCTCTTTTTGTCACATTTAATCTATTCGAACTCTTAAACACAGTCACTGAATTACTGACACTGCATTGTTCACTTTATCAATAAAACAGTTTTCTTGAATGCAAACATTATATTGTCCACAGACGTTATGCTGTGCACAAGTACAATGCAAGATGGAAAAAAATGTCAATTTTTTTACTTGGTAAGAGTTTTGGACTGCAGGTAAAATCTTTTAATGTAGATCTATGCTGTGTGGTTAAGCCGAGTAATGCTTTTCCTGAAGAAGACGCCACTTGGATGTGAACATATGTTGTTCTAAAGCCTTTGTAGACTTTTCTGCATTAATGATGCCTTTTCTAGATGAGTAAGCTACCCATGCCATAGGCATACATGCACCCCTATACAGAGAAGCAGGCTTTTGAACTGTGTGCTGATATCAGGCTGGCTTGTCCCTCTCCTCTGGAGAACATGGTCCCCATGTCTTGCGTTACTGCTGTCAACTTCAAAATTGCTTTTTTTCCCCTTAAAATTGTACAGTTTTTAGTTTTTAAACATTTTATATGTTCACTGTATTCCATTATAAATAAAATATGGATTTCTGAGCTTTGCAAATCATCTGTTTTTACTCACATCTTACACAAAGTCACAATTCTTTTAAAATTTGTACTGTATAACAGTGGCCTTTAAGATTTTCCACAGCCATGTTTACCATGGCGGTGATTTTGAGACTCTTGTTTTGTAATCATAATATGTTGTCATCTGTAAAAGATTTTGCTGCTGAAGCTGATAAAAAATAATCGAAATTTTACAAATAAACATCTATGATGCCTCAGAACTGCTGAAACATTTAAGAAAGTTCATCTGATACAAAGTAGTATTTTGTGGTTTCTACACAAGCTTCTAAAAACCTCAACTGCACACAAGTTTAACTCAGAGAGATTATGGCATCTCAACACAAACATGGAATTTAAACATGCGCACAAACATATTTCCAATGCAAAAAACCACAGTAATGTGTCCTAACAGCAAACTGCAAGCTCATTTTAGGATGATTCCGCATCTCTTAGGGTTAGAAATAAGTAAAGACAAAAAACACAAATTGTTGCTGAAACCAATGCGTTAAACTGAAAAGCTTTATGTTTTAAAATAATATGAAACACAGCTGATCTCTGCCAGCATACTAGTACATTTTTGGGCTTGTGGGTTCCAATTATTTCAATTTCACAGCTTTATAAAAATGTATGAAAGAACACATGCATGTTTTATGGATAGGCTACAATGACAAACAGAATATAATTTCAGTTTAAATAGAAAATGTGACTTCATGTTTCTGGTTTCATGACATTATGCCTCCTGAGGTAGATGCACATAAAAAGGGAGCATTTATCACTTTAATAGCCCAGTTTTCGTGTTACACTTAAGGACATGCAGGTAGATGACATAGTCAGATAGAAATGACAGTCAATGCATGACTGCTCGCCCAGCTTAAATCTAATAACAGTTTCCTGTGGCTGCCAAAATGAACATGCTGTAAATATAATGGCTCCGCAGCATGATGTGACTGCGGTACAGTAAAGTTAATGTACCTGTGTGTGAGCGTCCGTGTGTGCATCATTAGTTGATATAATAGACACAACAGGCCTTTCTTCCACACTTCTTCTGCACAAATTAGTTTCATTTCATTTATAGTCTATAACAAGCCTCTTTTGGCTTACTGCAAAACCCATGATTAGAATAGCGCCATTATTAGTGTCATTAGCAATAACTTGGACTTTGTGACCAAAAAAGGGAAATGTTTGCAATAAATTGCCCGCCGCTTTCTTCTGAGAAACAATTTAGCACTTTTTGAGTAGGATGCTATCTTTTGTCTTGCTGATATGAAAGGCACTCTCTGCAAAGTCATGAAGCGTGCACATTCAAAAAGCAATAAACAAAATTTGCACGCGGTCTTGCATTCTGATCACGCCTCCCACCCCAAAGAAAACGCCAGAAACGTGTGATGAATTCAACTTCCATCAAATCCTTCAAAAACATCCATTTGTTATCTTCAAATAACGACAGCTGAACACACTCCAAAAGCACGGAGATTTACTGCAGACTCACTCCGACTCTCTGTTGCTGAGGAATACTCAACTGTTTCTTGACAGCTTCCCTGAGTGTCATTTTTCAGCTTGAATGGGGCCTGCAGATGGCAAATGAGGTTACCATGCCAACTGACGTTCTAATGCTGATTTATTGAATGTGAAAGATAAGAGATGGAAGATAAGTCTGAAATTAATTACATGTTGGTGCACTGAACGTAAGAAGAGTCCGGTTTTTTTTTTTTTTTGCTAAAGGAGCATTAGATAAGCACAGTCCTGCATGTAAGAGCAGGATTTGATCAAATGAAAGCATCAAAGACCTGAGCACTGGGAAGATAAATAAACAGTAATTAAAAACCCTGCAATTAAAGAAAACACACCTCAACCAATGTGCAAAGAAAACTGTCAACCAGGACAGCAGTCATTTTGTGAAAGTTGTGCCGAAGCGGAACAGAAAACTGGTGAAAATAAAAGTAAGACGCTTTATGAAAGACAGATAATTTCGTTTTGTTGAGACCCTCGTGCCATCCCAGGATGCCAAGCACTCCCTCTTAAAATGTTTCTTTTGAGCGTAAAATGAACCTGGAAGTGACAGAAATAGAGTGCTCCATCTGCAGCTGGCAGGCAGTGGCAAATGAACCAATTATGTTCTGGTGAAGTCCTCTCTTTCACCTATAGGCAACGGCAGACCGTCATCGTCATCATGATGAAATGCAGGGAGACTGCAGGGGTAATTAAATACCATCAGGGGCCTGAAGGCGGACCTAATAACTCTCTGTAACAAGGCTATAATAAACTTAAGGGTCCCCACAACTCAAAGCATGTTAATGGTGAGAAAGATCACGTGCTGTGCACAAACATTCAGAAAGGGTTGCAAATGCAATGAAAAGGTTTACATTGTTGAGAGTTATCTGAATAAGATGACGTATAAAAATGAACCAATGTTGATTTTAATCTGATTTGTTTCTAAAATAATGGATTATACTGTATGAGTTTTAATGCAATCCTGCAGTCAACTCTTGTAGCATTTTGCCACCTGCTGGCAAAAACGTCCTTGTGCAACAGCATTCAGTACAATACCAATACACATTCTTATTGTCTAACAAAGGATTAAACTAAACTTTAAACTTGATTAGACAATCATTGATGGTATGATCAAACAAATAAAATAAAAAGAAAATATCAATATTAACAAATTTCTTCAAAATCTTCTTTCTTGTGCACCCATTATTTGATGATGTGATCTCTTGCAGATATGAATTTTTGTACTTTCTGCCAAGTTTCACTTTAATGTTGCACCTCATATTGGACAATTTGAGCCTCATTTATTCTATTTTATTGATTATTTACAATGTCATTTATTTACTTTTTTGTTTGTTATCTTCATACTGTGCCTTTGTAGCTCTAAACTGTCTGTCTTGTTTAATTTACTTTATTTGTTTACTGTATGTTTTCCTGTGTGATTATTATATGCATTTTTCTTTTTGTAAGACCAGAGTTTCACCCATGACCACAGAGACCATAATGTAAACAAAGTACTGAATATCAATGATAATTTTAAGTAATTAAATTAACTAATATACAGCTTATCGCACGTAATAGAGTGTAACGCAAGATCAGCATCATGCACACGTGTTAAAGGTTAAAAATGTGTTTTGATTATAAATGTTGTGACTTTTAAGTGACAGCTAACAATGCTGCAGTTTTCCACAACGCATTGTCTAGACCAGGGGTACCCAAACATTTTTCCTGAAAGGGCCAAAATTAAAATCAATCTGAGGGTGGCGGGCCAAATGCAATAATATAATACATGAAATGCTAATACTTCAAGTAAAGTTGTATTTTTTATGATCAAGCCAGCAGCCAGTGCAGTTGCCCACATTTCCTTGTTTGTTTGTTTGTTGTTTTTCCAGCCCATGGATATGGAGATAATTCAACGTATGCTAGGGCAGCAAAGGCTCATGAGACTTTTCATAATTAAAAATTGGAGTATGTGGTCTTATAAGCTGTGCAAACCTGGATATGGGCTTAAGTCTAATTTAAATGTCTCTTGAAGTTACTTGAATTTTAAGTTTAATCTTAACATAATTCAAAGATAAAGTGAGTACCATGAGTTAAGGCTATCTGACTACAGCTCCTTGTATCTATAGCTAGACCAATGTTTGAAAAGACTAAGTGCAAATATAGTATTTCTACATAAGACAGGATTACAATCTTAGTAACCAGGATAACTACTGGTGGGCCAAATCAAATGGCAATTGGCGGGCCAAATTTGGCCCGCGGGCCCCACTTTGGGCACCTCTGGCCTAGACTTTAAAGTTTGTAAAGGAAAAAAATACAGGTGAATTTATTTCCTTTTTGGAAAGTTTTAATTTCCTTGACTAAACCCTTTTTCATATTGAAATGATGATACAATACTTGATGGCCCTTGTCAATATGTTTTTCATTTTGTTATATTTTTTCACTGCTAATTTTATGTTTATTCATGTCATAAAGCGCCTTTTTGAATGTAATTATTCAATGCAAAGAGTGGGTACCTTTTTGTTATGAGTGAAAACTTGTAAACAAAGATTAAAAAAAAACATGGACTTCCGACTTCCTGTTAAGTTTCTACGGCAACGAGTTGGAGCTTCCTCCTGGAGGATCATGGGAAATTTTTCTGGCATCTGAAACAGAGGGATTTTTGAAAAATTTATTGACGATTTTTACGATAAAGCACTTAATATCAGCGCTTCGTCAGCACAGCTGTGAACATCGGATACGAGTTCAGTCTGTGAGTATGGCTACTATTGTTGAAATAGTCAAGTTAGTTTTTTAGGGAACAACTCTCCGCCCGTAAACACACCTAGCTAAGTTGCTAAAGCTACAATAACGGTGGTAATAATGCTTAGTTTCTTTTTCGAGTTTTAGGTCTGTTTAAATTAACACTGCAAGCATGAATGTTATCAGTACATTCCACTTATTACCAAAACCTATTTTCGTATTTAAAATGAATTCATGACTTTGTCAAGTTGTTCTCTGAACCACATTTATCTTTTTAGATGCAGCATCTGGTAGAGATGAACAAACATGGATCTGAAGCTGGAGGTTATTTTGTCATCAAGTATCAAACGAAAGAAACCATGGCCGCGATTCTGCTGGCTTGGTCAGGTGAGGGAAAAAAAACACTTCACCTAGAGGTACTAAAACTTAGCTATCCTTGAGAAAACAATTTAACTATGCTATTATTCCTCAGGAGAAGGAGTCTTTATTTTTGTTAGATGACAAACGGATCAGTGAGATCAACATGGTGTCTGGTCGCACCAAGAAGAAGACACCTAAACTTCATCATTTGCTCAACAATGTAGTGACAATGACTTCATCCCAAAATGGTGAGGCTATTGAGTCAACCACAAGATCAACAGAGTCAGGATGGATTGTAACTGTTGTTGTTTTCCAGGAATGTGGCTGTGTGGACTTCTGGTGTCAGGAGATCTCTTTCTGTGGAACAAGGATAAAGATGTATTGAAAACTGCAGCAACAGTCCCTGAAGTCACTCAGATAATTGCCACTGCTCAAGGTTTGTATTGTATGAAGACTGACAGAATAGATCATTTAATGAAGACAATTGCTTTAAATCAAATAATATTTAATTGAGTGTTTTTTTTTGTTTTTCTTTCTTCTTTTTTGTGAAACTATGAGGTCATAACTTTGGATTGTGTTGTTTTGCTCGGAAATATTGAAGCTGGTAGTTTTTGTTTAGAAGTGCTGAAGTTGTCTGTTTTGCTTTGTGGTGTTTTGGATTATTTGAATTGATTTGCTTGAATAGGCTTTTTAGGTTTTGTTGGACCCCAGGATGAGTAGTCTCTATTGTTGTAGAGACTAATGGGGACCCTTTTAAATAAACAATTTAAACAAACAATACACATGTTTATATCCAGAATCTGACAATTAGAAAAAGAGCTAACCTTCTGGTTAATTTTTGATCAGCTTATTTACATTTTTATCCACTGTAGTATGCTATATAAATAAAAGCAGTCCTTACATTCAAAACTTGTAAAGGTGAAATCCTAACTTCAAATTTGTGTTTTACTTCCATGTTTTTGCTTTTCAGCATCTCACTGTCTAAATTAAAGACATTTGTGATTTTTTTTGCAGAGAATTCCACAAAGTTGTCTCTTCAGGTTTCATGTAATGGGATGCGTGTGCTCTTGGCAGCCATAAGTGGCCAAGTGTTCCTGTGGGAGTGTACAGACGTGAGGGACTTTACAGGTCTGCGAGATGGCCCCGTCAAGGGACGGTGGGCACATATACAGCCCCTTGAAGACAGTGTATTACCTTCTTCACAAGATAAAGAAGCATCTCAACACACCATCTTTGTCAAGACAGAGGTTCGCATATTTAATAATATTTGTGCATTATTTCAATTTATGACGTAATTATAGAGAGCGACATCCAAAATAAGTGGATTTCATAGCATTGATACACTAACTTTTCTTCACAATTTCTCAGGTTATGGGTGACGTTTGCTGGTCAGGCTTTGTTTTCACATTGGAGAAGCAGCTCGTGATCACTGTTCTTAAAATTCAGTGGAAAGAAGGTCATGTGAGGATGGGGTGAGTGAACAGGTCCATGTCTGTAAAGGACCAAACCAAGTGTTGTGTCTTCTCATTTCGAAATGTGAACATTTTCCGTTGTAGTTCTGCTGGTTTCAACATAGAGTGGGCTACGAAGACATGCCTCATGTCCCAGCTCACCCCACCTTGCAACCCGGTGAAGTCCAGAGGGGCCTTGGTACCAGCCTTCTCCCCAGATGGTCGACTGTTAGCCGTTGTCTTGAACCAGAGAAAGCCTAAGGTGAGAATGTGGCCATCCTACTTCATTTATAACTTTTTGATCAGTTTTTATCAGTTTAAAACCATAAAAAAACACATGTTCCTGGTTTTGAATACAGGCTACACAGGTTCTGTTCATGAGCACACAGAACATGATAACAATATCAAGTGGACTGGGCGGATGCGGAAGTAAGAAAATGGATATCCCTTCTAAATATATAAGGTCAGTGAGCATAAATAAAACAAATCAGAGATGCTGTAATTTTTGCATTTTGCAGACAGACAACTGCTTATGAGGGGAGTTAAACCAGTGAATAGTTGAAGTAGCCCCATTTCAGGGGTGTCAAACTCATTTTCACCAAGAGCCACATGAGCATTATGGTGGCCCTCAAAAGACCAGTTTAAATAACTTTGAGGTTTCATGTTTAACTTTGATGAAACATGAAACACCACAATCCTCATCTCGTTGCTACAGCAAAGCACAGCTAACAAACAAAAACTGAGCTGAGAAACAGCATTTTAGCACGTCTTATAAAAACTGAAAAGTGCTTTGTGTATGATTGACTAAATGTGAAAGAAATAACAGAAATTCTATTGAAAGTAAGAATTAGAGAGTTTGAAACACTGTTGAGTTGTGGTAAGAAGCTGCTGTGTTGAATTCCAAACTCTCCACTTTTCCAACGGGGAATTTCCATACATAATCGACATGCGTTTTTGGTGATGTAGATTGTGGTCAATTCTGGCTTTAGAGCAGCTTATTTTGAGACGTTAATACAGGGCTGTACAACAAAATGCTCACGGGGCCACGGCTGCTTAAAGCCAACAGCTCTGGGGCAGGACAAGCATTATTTTTTTCCCCCTTTCAAATTTATGTGTTTTGTTGCATTGAATCATAAATTTAAAGTTCACAAATGATATAAAAAACAATTTTCATATTAAATTAATTAAAACATTTTTTTAAATTATTCAGCACTGTTCTTGAGACTTTTAAAAAGGTAAAATACCTTGATCATTTTATTAATGATCAAATGATTGATGATGATGATACAGACAGCGATGTAAGCTGTGTGTGCAGGCAAACACTGAACTACGGACTTTTAGCTTCTGTTCAGTGTTTGAACATTTAGAGCACTTTTAAGGAAGCTGAAAGTGGTCACAGACTCAGCAGTGAGTAGATACCATTACTTATCCAGCCTGAGAACACACTGGTGAAGTGTTTGTGAATGAACTGATTTCTGTTTAAGTAACTGTGTAATTTTTATCTATAAGGTGTATGAGTACATTCCATAACTTTATATATATATATATATATATATACTTCAATATGAAAATTTGGGGTGTACGTTTTGGCGGGCTGGACAGAAGTCATCCTGCGAGCCTTGAATTTGACACATGTGCGGTACATGTTCATATTCTGGCACAAGACATAAAAAATCTCCACCAACTACAAGCTTCCTGTTGTAGTCAGCTACAGAGAACAGATGTGTTCTTGATGAATCCTAACGTATTGTCTTTTGAAGGTCCTACTGGGTGGGCAGTGTTAGCTGGTCACCTGGAGGCCTTTTCTTGGCCTGCGTGTTGAAAAGAGGCTCCCTTCTGATGTTGGCTCGTCTCGGGGAACTTCTGACTCTCACCAGCTCTGGTTGCAATGTTGACTTTGGCCCTGCTCAGTTCTTACCCCTGCACCCACTGGTCACTTACAGGTGAACTCGATAGACTTGTTTGACATGTTAGAAATTATAGGTTGGTTTTGAGTTGACATTTTCTAATTGTTTGTCCCTAATTTCCTTTCATCCAGTCTTTTTCTAAATGCTTATAACACTTTTCAGGCCACCAGTGTCTGCAGTGAAAGGCGAAGCTTCTCTGTCCAGCTCCAGCATGTCTGTGCGCGACATCCTGAGGCAGCGGTATTCCGTCACCTGGCATCCACGCCTGTTGTACCTCATTGTGTCTGATGGCTACATGGCCACAGTAATGAGGGTGCTGGGCAGACCTTCTCCTGCTCTGTTCCTGAAGTCTCTCCTTACAGATGTTAGCAAAGATCTGGAGAAGGCCAGCTGCAAACTAGATAAATCACAGGTGAACTATTGTATCAGTATATTGTTTTACAGGGGTTTTCTTGGCTGTATAGTTCACTCACCTACAATATTTTCAGGTTCACGTGAAGGCTTGGTTGGAGTCTGTATCTTGCTTGAATTTGGACAGCAGCCTCGATGAGTTCAACCTCGCCGTTTCGTGTCGGCCCAAAACCTCAGACTCTGTCATTTCAGTGGGCACAGATACATCCAGGTTGCCACTGTTCCTGCAGGAGCAACAGACTTTGGGTGGCACCAAGGAGCTTTTTGAAAGCATGCAGGTGACATTATGAAGACATACAGTTTTAGATTTTGTAAAAATGAATTTAAAGCACAGAAAAGTAATGTGTTATGACTGGTGTGTAAATAACTTTATTCTTATGGGTGACCTATCATATGGAAATGAGGATTAAGTCAAATTTGGTCCAAATGACCTGATCACATTTTCAGATTCTTGGCTTTAAAAGTGACATTTTGATACCTGAACACTCTGATATCATAAATGTATCCAGAAATATGCCTTAATTTGTCTTGTTGGTTACGATAATACATTAATATTTGGTCTGAATTCTAATTTTGTGTAATTCTTATGAGGAATTTTTCCAGTTCATAATGAAGAGGAAATCTCAAATAGTACTTCAATATTGAGATTTCCCAGTTGGAAAGAAACAAAAACATTTGTAGCTTACAGGGAAAATCTCAAAATTTAAAGGCGTTTTTCCTCAAAATCAGGTTTTTTGTTGCTACTGCTCAAAAAAGTGATTCAAAAAGATTTTTATTATTATATTTTACACAGTTCATTCAAAAGAAACTTTGATAAGGCATTTATTTGTTACATTTTGAAGAAATGCAATTTATGTTTTAATCAAAACACTATATTTGCCTATTTCTCCATATAACACAAATAAAATATATAAAGATTTAATCCTCGTTCCGATGTGATGGGTCACATATGGCTTCTCTGTGCTTTCCTAGGCCTTCTTTGAGGTAGAGTCTGATTTAGAGGGACTTCCTGCTGGTTCTCATATGGAGGAAGGAGGTCGTTTAGAGTTTGCCTCCATGTTTGATACTCTCCATGCCCTGGAAACCTGCAACGACTCGGCATTTCTTGCTGGCCCAGTTTATAACGACTTTACAGAACCTGAGATGAAGAGCCCTCTTTGGCGCGAGTTAGGGAGGATCCAGAGCAGGCTGCTAACAGCTTGGGCTGTTGGCATGTCTCTGGGAAATGCTGTTGAACACAGAGTCCCTCTGATGAAGCACGCGCTCTGCTGTTGGGTTCGACTCGCTGCTTTGCTCCATTTGCTGCCCGGCTCCAAGGTCCACGCAGGAGAAAAGGACCAGCCCACTTTTGCCTGCCTCTTGCATCTCATCAAATCCCTTCTGTCTTTCCTTTCCTGGGATAGCTCTTCCTCTGACGGGCTGAGCTGCTTGGGACTGTTGGTGGAGTTTAGTAGGAAAATTGTACACCTTCTGCTGACCCCTCACCCTGACTCCCACCAGACTGGACAGTGTCTTGTATCATCTCAAAGTCTGTTCAGAATCATAAACGTCTTGCAGCTGGTCAGTAATTCTCTTGACCATGCTTACAGCCTACAGCAAAGAACTTACTTTTCTTCTGAGGAGGAAGTAACTCCTTCTCAGACACAGATCTGGCGTTCATATGTATACCATGTACATCTGCTACAAAATGAGAACACAGACAAAACAGCTTCTACGCATCAGGCTCTACCTTTTCCTCATCGACCCTCTAGCAGGTAAGAACGGTTTCTTTTTACTTTAGAGAGGAACAACAAACAAACATGTATCATGTGTTGAATCACTTGACTATAGTCATCTCAAAGCTTGACCGAGGTGCTGCTTTTCTGCTTTTCCAGATTGTTGGGAGTATGGCAGCTGGTCTATCATATAACTCAGAAGTATGCAGAAGAACTGCAAAGGTTCAAAGGCTGCGATGGCTGGGACGAGGAAGAACAAATGGTGTCTGTCATCATGTCCCAGATCCAGGCAGCTCTGCAGTCTACAGGACAAAGCCTAGAGGAGGGCCCTTCTTTGCTGAGTTCCTCAGGTCTGAAACAGAAAACAGTTGAACTGTAACGGTATTACTAAGTAAGAGATGTAATATGTGAAATTATTTCAGTTTTTCAAATAGAGGTAAGTGAAATCTGTTTTGAGGCAAGATTCTGAGTCAATTTTTACATCTTGATTAATTAATTAATTATAGAATATTGAGGGACACGAAAAACACTACTTAGAAGTATGAATAATCGGAACAGTCTGTGGCGTGCACATAACAGACACATGGACAAGATAACTGAGGGAGATACAGTATGTCTCATTGTGGAAATATAAATAACCAAAAAGCACGTATGATTGTAACACAGCCCTCTGACTTGTAATCAAATTGAACTGTGAGGTGCCTACTGCCCCCCCGGTCACATCTAATTGTACACATTGCTTTTGAACTTGAAATTTCCCTTTCGTTTTTTTAAGGTGAACGTCTTTTCCTGTGTGGTTTGTACCCGAAAAGTGCAGATGCATGGCGTTTGCAAATCTGTGAAGAGGCTAGTAAAAGTAAGACTCAAACTAGGGGTGCATCGATTGCAGTTTTCTGGCCAGTCATCTAGCTTTTAAAGCCTGACCTGCCGATTCTGACTTTGATCGATAAAGTGTTTTTATATAACTGACCCTGTCATATAAGGTCACAATACACATTTAATGTACCAATCTTAGTTTAGTGAAAAACATTGAACACCCTTGAAACAATACAAACTTGTTTTAACTGGACGTGAGGTAATGCTCTGAAATATGTTTCAAACCGACGACACAGCTGCTCCAGGTGAGCTTTGACTGTTTTTAACAACACGAATGCAGACGTGACCTGATCAGTCAGTCTTCTGTCACAGCAGAACTATAGTGGCTGATTTTCAGACCGTTGCAGAGGTAAGAGAAGATTGCTGGAGAAGATCGGCTATTGGCCTATCGCTGACTAAGCCAAAAGAAGAAAATCTTGGGCTATCAATCAGTGCATCCCTAACTCAAACTGCTCCTCAAACTAATTAAAGTCTCTCGGTTACATTGTCGTGTTATGCTAATAATGATCATTTGTTATCCTGTTAGGTGGTGAACGTTGTGTCTTTCTGGAGAAGAGACTTTGTCTGGCACTTCTTTATAGTCTGCTATCCCAGTACCATTTAAAGGATGCCCAAGAGTTTGGGGACCACATGGCACAGCTCATTCTGCTTCAGGCTGGAAAGCAGATTGATTGTCTGGCTTCCATAACAGGTAAGACGTTCAATAATTACTTTTGAGTTTAGCTCCTGAAGTTATTTTATTCACACATCTGTTAGTAGCATTTTTCTGTTGATTAACCTTGAAAGCATTGCTTAGCCAAATAGCATTATAGAACTTTGTGATTGTTTTATCGGTCTACATTACATAAGCTTAAAAAAACTCTTTTAAAATTATTTCATGTTAGACCTTGTAGCCCCCTCTTTAATTTATTTTTATTTTTTGCATGTGAAAACGTGAGGAGATCTAAAATAACACCATGCACATTAAAACAATTTATCCTTAGAGACATGTTATATAAAATATTCTATTTGGCTGCAACTATAAAAATGTCAGAAAAAGCTGCAATAAGTGAGAAAAATATATCAAAAGGTGTATTTTTTTAACGACATCTGTTAAGAATATGTGAATATAAAATTGTTTAACAAACCTGACATTATAACACTGTGGGAATACAGATCTGTGTGTAGTGCTCTCCAGGTGTCAAAACTTCAGTTTAGAGACACCATAAATCTAGCTTTACTGGCTATTCGCAGATTGTGCAAGAAGTCATGCTAAGTGCAAAAAAATATATATTTTTTTCATTTCCTGTCTTCATCCCTTTCAACAGATTCTCCTCCTTGCCCCTGGCTGCCAATGAATCTTCATAGCGGTGCAGCCAGTGCAGTTGTTCAGACACTTGGGAGATTCATGGCCTCTTATTTCTCCAACCAGCCGCTCTTTATTCTGCCTGCTCATAATGTGGCCGTCCTGCCTCCGATCCATCTACCCCACTGTATGTTTTCAAACGTTTCTTGTCAGTTTAAAAGATTATTCCTTTATTTATTGCTGCTGCTTTAGAGTAATGCATCAATTCTGTTTTCAGCCCCGAGTGTTGGCCGTTTGGTGCCACTGTGCCAAGAGGATGTGGCTAAGGCAGTTCGACAACAGCATCTATCAGAAGTTTGGACAGTGGACTACGCTCTGGACTTGCTTCTGCTGGGGGGGCTGCTTCCTGAGGCTGTGTGGCTGGCTTATCATCTGGGGGACTGGAAGACAGCTGTCACTCTGAGTCTGGCCCATATAAGTTACTGCACTGAACGCTCTGACTTCACTCAGTAAGTTTAAAATCACAAAATGAGCAAAAAGTTGACATACAATATGTACAAATTGTTTTCAAACTCTGAATCGGTTTTCTGATCATTTCTATGACAGGCTCAGGAGGAGAGAGCTCCAGTTGCCATCAGTTTTACAACCAGAAAGCATTTTTCAGGCTGAGCTGTGGGGGCTTCTTGGCAACAAAACGGACTCCCAAGAGTCTGCTGATAAAGATGAAGACAAGAGTTTAACAAGTTAGTTAAACCTCACATGTGTAAATACGTTTGAGAGCTGTAGCTGTATAACTCTTTAATCCAGGTGTTGTTGTCGCAGTTTGTTCAGATCCTTTGGAAGGAGAGGACTGGGACTTGCTAGGGGCTTCTGTGCAGGAGATCCTGAAAGCTTCTGTCATGGCAGAAGTGAATGTTTTGTGCTCGCCTTTGTCTTCTTTCCTGGAAAAAGCCAAAAGAACGAGTTCTTCCCTGCCTGCCTTGGTGCCTATTGGACTTTACCTACCGTCTCCGCCTCTTTACTGCCCTCAGCCTTCTCCCAACACTCAGGTACTCTTCGAAGTCATTTGAATTTTTACACACAGTGCAGATGAAAAGATAAAAAGCATTTGATTTGTAGGATCACATGGAGACTGTGGGGGAATTTGCTGAAGTTTCGTGTCGACACAAAGTGTCCGCGGTCCTCCAAAGGTTACTCTTCCTTCTGAGATCTGCTCGTTGTTGCCATCCAGCAGCTCAGTGGTACATCAGCCATCTGCGCCGTGCCAGACATATCCTGCACAAGGTTTGTCTTTCCAAAGTTTGAATTGTATCTGATCTCGTAAAAATCTTACTTTGTTGCTAAAACAAAAGTGATATTTCTACTGATGAATAAGTGATACGTAAAATAGGGAAATTTGTTGACAAATATTCACATTTTATTAAAAGTGATAACTGAATGTGATGATTGACTGTCAAAAATGGTTCAAATATTTAATTTGGTTATTGTTTTAGATCAAGAAGAAGTATTGCTATCCATCAGCTGATCAGGAGGAAAAGGATTTCCCAGAAGCACTGATGAAGCTGATCACCCGGGGAGGATACTTTAGATTAGGGCCTAATAAAGATGGTCGCCTGGACTCCGACATCATCCACACTATTAGTAATATTGCACTTGTTAATCGCTAACAGCTTGGTAACATATCTAATGTTCTCCTGTACTTATTTGTTGCTTTTTTTTCTGTCATAAGTTTGTTTCAGGGAGCTGTGTGCTTTGTGCTGGATGCTTCACATCAGGGATCAGCTCTCCCTCCACTGCAGGAGGTACCAAGCTGCCAGACAGCGTGGAGGAGATGAAGAGGTATTGCACACTGTTTAATGTGTGTGCTGCAAGTGTAAAACAATCATTGCCACTGGTTTTAATTGTCCATGTGCATTTGTGTTTCTTAGCCCTCTAATGAGTCGGAAGTGAATTCCTCCGGTGTCGATGCTCTCCTCTGGACTGTTCGTTTTCTGCCTTTCTCTCACTTCCTCAGTGCTGAGGAAGTCCTGCAGGACATATTGCTCAGCCTGTTGTCTGAACTACCTCCTGTGCCTTTGGTAACACTTTGTTTGGATTTGTTAAACTTGGCATTGAATAGGAAAAAAAACGCTGTAATTGTTGTTGTTGAGTGAGAACATTTTTAACTTTTGGCTCTTGTCATTGGTAGGTGGCAGACACCCTGGTGCGGGCCTTCCCACAGGAGGAGGAGTCTGTCAGAGTGTCTTTGAGAGAGAAATACAACTTACTGCTGCAAAGACTGAGGCAGTGCAATGTCATTGGTACAAAAACCTCTGAACTTTAACAAATATTTTTGAAATAGTTTACAGTATTTAAAGAAAATGAAAATTTAGAGTATTTCAATTCAATTCAATTCAAAAATACTTTATTGATCCCAGAGGGAAATTAGATAATCTATTTGCCTTACCAAAGAAACAAAATAAACAAAATGTATTTATTTTGATATAGTCAAATTCATTTAATTTTAAATTAAATAAAGAAAACAATCATGTGGCTATATTTGTGACCAGGGGTAAAAATCAACTTTGTCATAAAACAATATATTGATTTGTTTGGATGACAATACAATGTTTCTTGATTTTGCAAAGTGTGTCAATGATACAATGTTGATTCAATTCAATTTACAAGTCTGCAATCAATATGATGCAATATCATAAGCCTGTCTAACACAATCATTTGATATTGATCCACATCGGACATATGGATCAGAGTTTTTGTTTTGCCTTGATGTAATACAATTATTAATCATTCAATCGATATATCGACGTGGATCAATGGGCCTCATGCAAGAACATGTTCGTATTCTTATCCTAAATTTCTCTTACTTTTGTTCGTACAAAGGGTTCGTACGAACATATCACGTCAGATTCAACAAACGCTTCTATCTTCAGGAAACGTGCGTAAATGAGCTGCGTAATTTACACCTTTTCTATCCAGCTGCTCGTGCACG